CTCAGTTTCTTCCTTTGTAGATTGGATGGTTCTGTCTGCCCACTTACTTGTCCAACTCCCCTCCAGGGCTCAGTCCCCATTGGGCTTCTGAATGTTTCCCCACCTAATGCCTCTTCCAGCTCTTTCCACTTCTACCCCCGAACCACCCCCTACCAGTCTCAATGCCACCTTTTCTTCTGCTTCGTTCTCCCTTCCTCCGTGTTAAAGCAGCCAGTCCTGTGTTCACCTGAACAACAGAGCCCGAGCACCATGGCCTGGTCTTTAGGGCCTCTCCCAGGCTCCCTCCCCAGTCTCCCCTGACCAACGTTGGCCCTGCACTGACCCCTGTATTGTAACTGGTGTCCAATGAGACTGGCAGTTCCCAGAAAACTGGGAAGATATTTTATCTTTGTGTTTGCCCAGTACCGACAGTGTCCGGAAATGTCCCCTGAGTGATGGGAAAATATGTCTGCCTTTATTTCTCAGAGCTTTGTTATGAAATTCAAATGAGAAGGTCTTTATAAAAGAACAGTATGAACTTAAACTACAAATATAACAACCGTAAATCTCCTGAAGCTCTGGACTCAAATAATACCTCTTCTGGGTGAATGAAGGAGATGCTTCATTTCCAGAAAATTAGATAGATTTACTCTTAACCATTTAAGACTTGGAACTCACTCAACAAAAGCCAAATTAAAGCCTGTTTCCATTCTGTGTTCCATTTAGGTAAGTGGTGTTTAAATGGACATTTAAAAATAAATTCTAATGGGTTGTCTCATAAAATTTTGTAACTATAATATAAAATATTCAGCCAATAGGAACAGAAAATAGAAAGCAAACCTGCTTTAGAATAAAACACTTTTTTTAAAAAAAAAAAAATAAAGATGAGCATGAAGCTTGATTGAAGAATTCTGATGCTGGGAGTGAGGCTGGGGGACCATGTGGGTTCTAAGTGCCAGCACTGAACCCAGGTCTGCTCAGAAGCCTCACCTGCGAGAAAGCTGGGTAGGCAGCATCCCACTCCAGGGCGATTTTGAAGCCGTCATGGGTGCAGATGTCCCTAGCAAAATGTGACAACTGCAGTGGCCAGATTCAGCAAGTAAAAATATAAGATGCCCACATACTGCAGAAAAATGCTGAGGCTAACAAATTATTTACTCTTTACCCCCAAATTCCAGTTTAACTGAACATACTATGTTTTATCTGGAAAACCAAGCTACACCCCAAATAACTTTAATAACTTTAAACTGGTGTCTGTTGACAGGATGGGGCTCCGGGGCATTTTCCGGAAAGAATTCCCACTGGTTTTCTCACTGTAAACATTTTAGGTCAAAAATCAAGTGGTGGTAGGTTGCCATCTAGTGGAACGATGGAAGTTGCTAAGGAAAAAATTTGGAGTAAACCGATTTTCTTTTTCTTATTCCGAGATTTGCAAAGAAAGATTCTACTGCGACCAACAGCAGAGTCCCATGGTTGTACTATCAGAAGATGAAGACGGCAAGTGTAGGGTGGGGGAGGCAGGAGCAGATGGGTTTTCCCAGAGGTTCCAGTGGAGTCACACAGGAGCAGGACCCTCAAGCTGCAGAAATTGCTGGACCTTGTGAAAGAAGGTTCAGCCACGAGGACTCTGCCCTCGTGAATGGATTAATGTCATCTACATGGAAGTGGGCTGTTAAGAGGTGAGTTCAGTCCTCTCTTGCTCTTTGGCAGATGCCATGTGATGCCTCTGTCACCCAGTAACATATCAAGGAAGCCCTCACCAGATGTAATGCCTGGACCTGGCTTCCCAAACCACAAGCAAATATATTTTAGACTCCCCGGTTTCCAGAACCATGATCAAATACATTTCTGTTCATTATAAGCTACTCAGTCTATTGGTATTCTGTTGTAACAACATAAAATGTACTCAAACAGTCAATAATGGTAATATAAAACCAAATTGGGGACAGGAAAGAACAAGGGAAAGATAAATCTACTCCCTGAGGCAGACATAATAATATCCATATAACACAGAGAAAGCAAAAGCACTTAGTTCTTGGTTCAGCCTCTATGCTCAAAGAAAGGAAATAGTATGGAAATTAAGAGTTGGGCATAAAAACATAAGGTAGACTTAGGACCCAAACCAGAGTCTCACAAGTGCTTAAATAATTCTATATTCTGTTCAGTGAGAACAGGAAAGGTGATCTGAGCCTTCATAGAGGCAAATATCTTGATTTTCAAAGAGATGGTTTTTAGAAACTAAAGGAAAAGAACTTTAATGTGAAATTCCTACAGGCTTCTGTAATAGATTGTTAAGAGAAGGTTTATCAGCATTTTGATAATGTGGTTTACGGTTAATAAACACCAGGCACAGTGGTGCACACCTGTAATCCCACCGACTTGGGAGGCTGAGGCAAGAGGATTGCAGATTTGTGGGCAGCCTCAGCAACTTAGCAAGACCCCTCAGCACTTTAGCGAGACCCTGTCTCTGCATAAAATTTAAATATTACAAAGGGCTGCCTATCCAGCCCTTTGTAATATTTAAATTTTAAATATTACAGTGCAAAGTGTACAGTGCAAAGTTCCCCTGGGTTTAATCTCCAGTACCAAAATAACAAATAACTACAAACAGCAATTGGTGTTCCAAGCCACACCAAACTCATCTTATTTGTTATGTAGTTAGGTTTCCAAGAATGTTAAACTATCTGATTGCTGTAAAGACAATGTGATTTGACTTTATTCAGTCAAAAATGCAGTCCCCCCCCCCCACACCCACCCACAGACAAAGAGTCTGTGGGAAGGTGCAAACAATGGCTTTGGACGACAACAGAGTTGAGGAGCGTTTGTGCGACCCCTGGCAGGTTCTGCATCTGCATCTTCTCCCATCTCTCACTCCTCTTCCTCACTGGCCTTTCAACCCTGCCTCCCTGGCCCTCAGTCGCTCGTCTCCTTTCTTTTAGAACCACCTCCTGGTTTTCCTTGGTCACGTGCACCTGTCTGTCCCGTTAGCTTCCCCTGCTCCTCTTCACTTCCTATTTCAGGTGACATCTTCCCATCCTCCCACTTTGTCTTGCTCCCCTCATGAGCTCGCTGTAAGGGCTCTCACTCTCCAGGTCGGCGCCCCTTTTTCTCTTCTGCTAGACCTTATTTCAGGAGAGAGAAATCCCTATGGCTCTTTCCCTCTTCTGTGCCCTGGTCTGTGCCCTGTTAGTTCTCACACAGTCTCTACTCTCCATTCGTCTTTCTGGCTCTTTTCCAATCCCTCTCCCGGGTGCCACACCCCCATCCCTTCTCTTCTCAAATTGGTTGATGACCCTCCTTCTCAGTCTTCCCCTTAGCCCTTAATGTGCTGAAGCAGGACCTCAAGCTTGGAGCCAAAGGGTTCTAATTAATATTTCCTCCTTCATTGCCTGATTTGGCTGACCACTAGCAGATAGAAGGAAGCCATTCAAGTTCAGTGTGGATACAAAGCCCGTCTACGCAATGGAGCAGGAGGAGCAAGGCCCACACAGGCACGTCCTCACTCTTTGCCATTCCTTCGTGAGCCCTGGACCCACTGTCCGGCCATCAAGGACAGTTTCTTCATTGGTCAAACTGCCTCTTTCCTCCTGTTCCCTCAGCTCAACCTACCACCAAAACTCCCTAGACTAGCTCCCAGCCCCCGGGGTGCAACCATAAACAGAAGTGGTAAAACTGAAGTTCATGGGTGAGAGCTAAGTGAGATGTAGCGATCATTTTAGGAGATGTCTCGAGGTGCTTCTTTTGGCGTCTCTGCTAGCTGGGGTGGGGGAGACACAAAAGACCCTGGATCCTTCACCGCTGTGGCATTGTCCTGCACAGGAGAGGACTGCGGGCTTGCAGTTCTTACTCGTGTAATTTTTGGGGTCCCCTCATCCCTTATTCTTTCTTCTTATCCTCTCCCCCAGATAAGAGCTTGGGGGAAATGAGTCACAATTTGCAACCCTGGAGACTTGGCTTTGAACACCCGTGGACTTCTCTTGCGATGCTAGTTCTACAGGACCCAAGTTTTAGGGACAAACCCAGACTCAGGTTTAGATCTAGGTTTGTGAATAGAACGTGATTTAATGGCAGGACTGAAGGAAGAGCTCAAGATGCCCAATTTCTCCTTTAGGGGAGCCAGGAACAATACATGATCATGTCCAGTGGGGACTCCCGAACAATTACATCCAACAACTAGTCAGTGGTAGGCAATGGAACTCCCCCTAGGTTGAGGGGGAGGACTCACAATCAGAGAACACAAGGTAGACTAGCTTACTGCTTACAGTGGCCCTCAGGCTCAGTGTCCAGCAGTGAAAGGAAACAACGTACTGACGCAACATCCGGAAGTAACCTGGGCTCCCCTTTCTTCAGGACCATCATAGAGGTGTGGGGGAAGGGCAGGTCCAACCCTCTTCCTTCTCTAATGCCCAGCGGCAAGACAAGCACACACCGGGGAGGCATCCGATCCCACCCAGCCCAGAATCCTTCCCAGCCCTTCCATCAGCACCCCCTGTGCAGGTACCCCAATCCTGTCCCCCCATGCCCAGGACCCTCTTTCTACTCTTCGACTCCAACTAGGGAGCACAGCCATTCTTGTCTTCTTTGACCTCCTCCAATGCTGTGGACGGCTCCAGGGAGAAGACAGGCTGCTTTTCTTGTGCCTTGCCGAGTAAGGGCCCAGTTCCTGGTCTGGCCCCTTCCGGCAGCGGGTCAAGACCTGGAGAAGGCTGCCTGCTCATTGCCTGAGCACCAGGAGCTGTACACAGATCAGGAAAATAGCCATCTGCTCCTGAGGGGTGCCCCAGTGTCTGTGGGTAGAGGGGACCAGGGAAGGGCAGTTCTGGCAAACAGAGGTCATTCCACGACACTGCACCTGGGAGGAGGGTCAAAAGACATAGGAATGATTAGACAGGACAAAGAGCATCAAACATCATTCAGTGCCTACGAGAAGGGATTCTCTTTTACCATCCACAGCACCACAGCTTAGGACCCCAGTGCAAGTCTTGGAAAAACTGGCACCAAGCTCTCCCCACAGGACCAGGAAGGCTCCTGGGCTCCAGGTTCATCGGTTTGGTAATATGGACCCAGAGTGGACCTGGGTCAGGCCAAGTGCTGTCTCTTGCAGTCAGCAAGGACAGTGGGGCCACCTGGATGGGTCTTTCATCCCCTTCCCAAGAATTCTCAATGAGTGGATGCTTCTGGGACTTCTGAGGTCCAGGTGGACTAGTGGCATGCTGACATAGGCTGCCAGCTGCTCTCTGCCATGTGTCTTTTACTCATATTATTTCTAATCCTCACCAGGTCCTTCAGTGATCTGCACTCTTGTCCCCACATCCAAGTCCAGGACACTGAGACTTAGGAGACCTCTAACTAGCTGAGCTGGGACAGGTAAAAAGCACGCCCTGCCTCAGTCTACCCTGCAGATAATGAGGCTGTCTGAGCCTCTGCACCTTCCTCAGTCATCAAAGGATCTTCTTTCCCAGCCCCAACTCACCCACATTTCCCACGGGTGGCTGCAGCAGAATCTGCCCGGATGGAGGGCCCGAGTAGTAGCCCTGTGACATGCCCCCACTGGGACCACAAGGAAACATAAAGAGGGGGTCTTCCAGTGGTGGAAAGGTCAGTGAACTGGGCATGGGGAAGGGGAAGGGAGGCAGGTATGAAAACTGGGCCTGGGGAGGTTGGAAAAGCTGAGTCTGTGGAGGCTGGGGGAACTGGAACGGTCCCGGCTGGCTGCTTTGTGGGTAATCCTGGGCTTCCGGGTCTTCCAGATACGAGCAGATGGGTGGCGAGGAGATGCTGTGGGGGACAGAGGAATGTGTAGTGAGGTCCAGAGGTGGCCTGGGTCTTGCCGCACAGTAGGCGAGATCTTCCGACTTCCTTCCCCCAGCTCTGTGGGCACCCCACACTGCTTCCCGCCACCCCCCCACTCAGTGCTCCTGCCTGTCCTCTTTCTTTCTGTTTCATTGCAACAATATCCTAGATCATTCCTAATCTAAATCCACTTTTTAAAATATATATATATATTTTTTAGTTGTTGATGGACCTTTATTTTAGTTATTTATTTATAGGAGGTGCTGAGAATCTGACCCAGGGCCTCACACCTGCCAGGTGAGCCTGTACCACTGGGCCACAGCCCAGCCCTCACTTTCCCTTTTAATTCCCATCACATGTACTATTCCTTGCTCCTCGCAGCCCTTCCCCCCTCTCAGGGTCTGACTTTTCCTCCTTTGTATCCCTCCCATAACCAATCAGGTCTCTCTCCCTCTTAGGTCCCATACCTTGTCCCCCAGGATCCAGTGGGACTGCTCTCACTACCGGGGACATCTGCCAGCAGAGACATCAGTTGGGAGGTGTGCACAGGGCCCAGGGGAAAAGGAAAGTTGGTTCTTCGAACAGGTGGGGGACTGAAGAGTGGTGGGGTCTCCACCCTCTGAGTACCCTCGCTCTGTTGGATGGGTGCCAGAGTCTGGTCGGACATCATCAGCAGAGGGGGCTCTGGGAACAGAAGTCAAGGAAGGACTTAAGAAGACAGCCAGGCAGACCTGGGACTGTGGAAGGACAGACCTGGGACTGTGGAAGGACAGACCTGTGTGAAGCCCAGGATCCCCTGAATGGGCTCCTCTGACCCCAAACCTGGAGAGCTTTGTCCCATTCCCATTTCTTGGGCAAGGACCCTCTGAAGGGCCAAGACCTTTCTTGGGCAAGTGAACCCTCTGAAGGTAGGAGCTCACCTGGAAAGGTATCCAGAGTGGGCTCTGCAGGGAAGGGGCCAGACTCCCCGTCCATGGGCTTGGGAAGTGGGGGCTCTTCCGTAGAGCTGGAGGCAGAGAAAAGGGACTATGAAGCTCTGGTGGTCTCTGGATTTAGACAAGCACCTCAGAGCACAGAGGGATACCAAATCCATAAACTCTGCCTCCTGCCAGACACTGGCCAGTCACAAACTCTAGCAACAACCCCGGGCCGGACACCCAGCTTCCAACGCTTGCCCCTTCAAGATCCCAGGATCCCAATTTGGCTTCCACTTCTACCTACTGGAAAGTCCAGAGGGTTCCTCACCTGCACTGGCTGCTGGCAGGAGCTTCAGGATTGTCCTCATTTTCTTTCCCATTCAACTTCTCAACTTTTCGCCACTTTGCCCGGCGATTCTGGAACCACACCTATGGGGTAAAGATACTTGGAGAACTTGAGGAAGCGAGGAGGAGAAACTAGAGTCCAGGGACATCTGCCAGCAGAGACATCAGTCAACACGGTACACGGCTACATAAGGGTGGGAGGTCCTGTCACCACTTTGCTTCAGAAGCCTGCCTGTCCACTTGGTTTAACAACCAAGGCCTCTGCACCTCTTTCTTCTCCTGATAGTACATGGCAGCAGCACTATTAGAAGCCCACGGAGAGGCACCACCTCAGAGACCCAACTTCAGCCTCCCTGCACACTGAGGCTGAGCACGTGCCCTAACCCACAGGAATTCCAATGGGTAGCTTCTCAGCAACCTCCTACCCCTGCTGGTTAACCAGCCCCCTTTACCATGATGCGCTGGGGAGTGACCCCCACCGTCTGGGCTATCTCCCGGCGCTTGTCACCATCGGGGTAGTGATCTTCTTGGAACATTCGCTCTAGCTCTTCCAGCTGGTCTGCAAGAAGAAATGGGCAGGAGGAAGTCAATCACAGTGACATGGCAAGAGAGAAGAAGAGATGCCTGCCAGGTGTCTCCAGCAGATAGCGCCACTGCCCCTGCCCCAAGAGCCTTGCAGCCAAGTTCCCCAGTGGGCCAGCCATTCTCTCTTGGGCGTCATGGCTGAGACCTGTGTGGGGTTTGCTATCCTGACCCTTCGTCCTGGTCCCAAGCTTGCTTTCTGCTGAGACAACCTAGCCTTCCCCTTGGGGCCAAAGGCACTGCTGTGGGGTCAAGAGAGATCCAGGACAAAGTGATATACAAACGGCTTACCTGAACGGTAGAGGGTTCGAGTCTTTTTCCGGACTTGGCAGTTCACTTCTGGGGGCCCCTTCTTCTGGTCTGCGTTTTGGCTGTTCTGGGTCAATGTGCTGAGGAGGTTGGCCAGGTGGCAGGGGCCCCGGCCTGACCCACAAGGCACAGGGTTGTGAGTGGCACAGGATGACTTAGCAACACTGAGCAGTGATGTTGAGGCCTCATCCGTGGCATTGGGTTTTTTGTGTTTACCAGGGCCTGGGGAAGCCGGTCTCTTTACTGTCTTTGCCTGTCGTGCCAAGAGGGAAGAGCCTTGCCCCTGAGACTGGGGTCTGCCTGGGTTCTGCCTGTCTTTGTGGACAGCCCTGGAGCTGGAGGGCTGGCACACGCGCCTGGCATTAGCACGAGTCGATTCTCCAGTGGGCTCTGGAGGCGGCTCCTCTCCTGAGATGGCACAGGGGGGTGGCAGCTCTTTTTTCAGGGTGTCCTGAGTGTGGGGGGCTGACCCCTGCTTCGGTTCCTCCTCCAGTTCATCAGTCAGGGACTGGCCTCCACCTTCCTGGCCTATGGGAAGCAGCAGCCACTGACCTCAGCCCCAGGTAGAAGCAGGAGTCTGGGCTCCAAGGACATGCTGCTTTCTGCTCTACAGTGGACCTGTTGTTGGACCCTAAGTTTTCATCTGTCTACCTGTCAAATGAGGCCCTAATTCCAGACTTCCCTTCTTAATTTGATGGTTGTAAAGATTAGATAATCCAACTGCTTTGGAAAATGTAAACAAACATATATAGCTCTAAGAGGGCCTTAGCCCATGCTAGGAGAGTAATCCTAATTTAGGATGCTTCTTCCCCATTTTTTTCCCCCCAGATACCAGGAGTTCAAGGGACAGCCATCTGTTCAGGTATTTCTAAGGGACTACGGTGGGGCTGAGGGCAGACTAGGAAGAGAAACAGATTGATTAGAATTCTGCTTCACCCGAGACTGGAACCCAGACATGACTGCCAGCAGAAGTGACAAGGCAGGTTAAGATGGGTTCCAGAGCTCGGGCAGGGAGGTCAAAGGAGGTAACAGGAAGGACAGGCAGGAACCCTCCCCTTCCCTAGCACCCACTCTCCCTGCCAGCCCTCCTCAACTCCATGCACTTCCACTTCCTCCCAGTGTTCCCATATTTCTCCCCTCTGCCCAGGCCAACCCTCCCTTTACAGGTGAGGGAAAAGAAGCCCATTTGGAATCCTTTAAGCTTGCCTTCCTTTCTTCTAGCTGACTGATTCATCCAGAGCTTACCATGGTCCAGGCATAAGGCTGAGTTAGCACCTTTCAAAGCTTGGTACAGCGTGCATTTAACCCCTGTGAGGAAGGCACTTCTCCCATATGAAGACATGAGGATTAGAAACTTGAGTAATTAGCGTAAGATCGAATAGCACAGGGGGCACAAGTTCTCTCCAGGGTCACCCAACACTCCCCTTCACTTCCGGGCTTACTCATAACTGGGCTTACTCATGACTTACACATACCTACGGTCCAGGGACCTGCTGTATCATTTCCAACGAAATTGCAAAATTTTGTAAATAAATGTTAACCAGATAAAGGCCATTGTTATTTGAATGGAAATTGCATCATGCATTGTAATGTCTTAAGAAATTATTTTCTAACAATATGCAAAGCAGGAGGGTAAATTCTGGCTCAGGTGCTTTATCAAGTTGTTTCCTGGGACACACAACAGGCCTGAAGTGCAGGAGCCTGTCTGAAGCTGGTATAGAGGATGCAGCAGCCACGGGGTTAAAGGGACAAGGTTGGATGGAGATGTGGGCAAGGAGGTGCAAATTAGCTTAATGGCGTTTTCGTAGTGCCTGTAGTGTATAGCAATAAACCTGGTACAGATACAGAGTAGGTGCTCAACAAACATGACTCTTTCTCATCTCTCTCTCTCTCTCTCTCTCTCTCTCTCTCTCTCTCTTTCTCTCTCTCTCTTGGTACCAGGGATTGAACCCAGGAGCGCTAAACCACTTACATGTCTCCTTGGAGTGATTTGCCCTGGAAGAAAAGTGACGGGCGTCAGCCCAGCCCAGCGTTTTGTCACCTGTGCAGTGGGAGATCTGAACCCCTAGTCAGGGAGGTCTGCGGTCACCTCCTGCCCCACTACAGCGCACCAGCTACCCAAGCTCTTAGGTCGTCTAAAGCGGGCGAAGTGGCCAGAGGACCCCCGGCCTCAGAGAGCCCCCCAAGCTCGAACCCCTTGAGCGCTCACCCAGCGGTTCCCTGCAGGGATCCTCCCCGGGCTCCATGGCGTGGACTCCCGCGCCGCGGCCGCCGGCTGGGGCTGCACAGGCGCTGCTTAATGAAGCCTCGCCAGCGGGCAGGTGTGCAGAGCTTGCACGAGCGGGGCCTGCAGCTCGAGCGCGCATCCCCTCACCCCCACCCCCAGGGCGAGGCCGACCCCGGAGGCTCCGCGCCCAGACAGCTGCAGGGACTGGGAGCTGGGAGCGCTGCGCCCCTTGCTCCCCTCCCCCGCAGGCCCAAGGGGCTTGAGGAGCCCAGGTGCTGCGTCTGGACCCCTCCCCTCCGCCCAAAGCTGAGGCAGGCGGGGAGAAGGGGGCAAGACAGCAAAACCACTGGGGGTCTCCAAGCACGAGGTGCGGTGCTGGGCTCACGCACGCCCTAGGCACACTTGGTAATGAACTTGATTATGATTTCCTCCTGAACCCTTCCGTCGGGCGGTGGAGGATGACTTCTAGAACCATCTAGGGATCCTCAAATGCTTTTACTTGTCCTTCTTCCTGGTCAGTAGGCTGTCTCTGAGCCTCAGGATGAATCAGCCCCAAAGTCCCACAGTGAAGGCCCTTCATGTTCAGAGCTTCCGTCCTTGTCACATTTCCACCCAGTTGCTACCTCAGTTTTATTCGAAAAGAAGGAATTCTCTTGACAGAGATCCCACAGGAGAGAATCTTTATGATTCCTAGTTCCTGGAATGTTTCATATCCTCTTTATTGAAAAAATCAAAATGTAAAATTCTTATTGCCTCTGCCTTCTGCCTGAGTGGGTGGGTGAGAAGAGTGGGAGTGGGAGGGAGGCTGGACCTACTGAAGCAGGTGGCTGGAGTAGTGGGTGGGGAGGTTGAGTTCTGACCAAAAGTCAGGTGTTTTGCTTTTAGGCTTCAAAAGACTCTGGACACCAGGTGCTTTCATGCTACCATCAGCTATGGGTACATTTTCCTGTGTCTTCAGTGGCTTTGGGAGCCTTTGTACCTCAGAGGGTTGTGAGATCTTCATTCTTTTCTGAAACATAAAAATGTAAACTAACTTCATAGCAGTATGATCAAAACTTCAGGCCTCTGACATTTCATTTCTACTTCTGCCATAAGACGGATATCCTAAGGTTAAGGTGGACTTTAGACACAGGGCCCAGTTTCTCTGCGGGAAATGAGGGATTCTAGGCCCTTCAAGCAAGAAAGCGGCTCCGTGAAGCTGCACGGGTTGGTGGTGACATGGTTTTAAGTGGAACACAAAAGTTCCCTCGATTAAACACTTACAGGATGACGACTGTATGCTGGGCACCGTGGACAAGTCACTTTCTTATCCAGAAGCTTTCTGGTGGAAAGAAGATGAGAGCACTAACACCGTGGGTCTTGCCAATACCCTGTGGTCAGTGGTGAGTTAGAGGTGTGTGTGAGCTCATGTGGAACCCAGAGGAGCAGGAAACCCAGGCGGACGGGGCTGGAGGCTTCTTGGAGAAGGTGGCCACCTGAGCTGTGAGTCTCACAGCTTACCATCTCACAGTCCTACCTAAAACCCCACCGTGGCCCCTCACTGCCTGCATAAAGCCCAAGCTCCCTGCGTGGGGACTAGAGCCTTCCATGGGCTGGTCCTTTCCTCTGAAGTCTCAGATCCCAGTGTCCCTGCCTAGGTATCCCAGGGGTTTCTGTCTCCTTTGACCTAATGTTTTCTCAAAGTATTCTTAAAACCTCCTGAATCACAATTTCTTAGGGAGTTTATTTAAAGTGCGACTTCCAGGTCCCCATCCCCAGAAATCTTAATTGGCAGGTCTGCAGAGGGACCCAGAGACATCCATTTTAATGGTCCCTCCAGTGATTTTATACATATCAGAGTTTGAGTCACTGTGAGACTCTTCAAAAACAAAGTCCACTACAATCATCTGGGGGATACAAGTGGGGGGCAGCAGATGGTGGGTCCTCTATGGGAAGGTAATGACCTTTATGAAGGTGTCCACTGCGATGAGCAGCAGGACACAATTAATTTCTTAATAGAATGTCCTGTCACGTTAAATTCAAAATAAATCGTCTTTCTCTGCCATCATTGACGTTGTATTTTCTCTTGCTGCCTGGCTGCCCTCTGCCAGGGGAAAGATCAGAAAAGAAAAGGCTCAAATCACCATTGACTGTCCTTTCCGGAGGTTTCCAAAGGCAGGCCCTGGGCAGAGGCTCTGGAGGCTCCGGCAGCCTGTCCCAGCCATTGGCACTGGGCCGTCCACAGCGCCTGTCTGATCCTCTGGCCATTTGCCTCCTGCAGCTGCAGTCAGTCTTGATCTCTGAGCCCTTTATACAAAC